AGAAAGCTTCCCTGAAAATTTCAGCGCGCTAGCTAACTGGGAAGTGCCAGAAATTTCGATCGCAAGATTTGATTGGAAAAACAAACAAACAGAGAAAGCAAGTTAAAGAAAACGTGGGAATAAGTTCACTCCAGGAGTTCTACTAGTACATGAACACGATTTACATTGTTCTACATCTGGCTTTAGTGTCCGTCTTTACCAGTGCTATCATCCACGCGCTCTGCGGTCCACAGAAGTTCGGTCCAGCAAAACCTCACGACCAAAAAATGGTACCCTGCACCAGACAGGCCGTGTTGAAGCGTGAACGACTGGAGGCGATCCTCACAAAGTGGATGATCCTGTCTATTGGCGTGTTCGTGCTACTCACCGTCCCCTCGTTTGTTATCACGCTCATATACAGTACCTTCGACTACAAGAAACGGGTTCTGTTAAACGATGTCCAGGTGATCATTTTTGACTCCTCCTATATAGATACTCCAACTAGCTGTTAGAGTAAGGTTCACTTCTTCCGAATAGAGGGGGAGGGGGGACTTAAGTAGTTGGAGTGAAACATTTTTTAAGATATATAATTTTTTTAGATAGTAACATCAAAATAGCCTGCCCACACAACCACTGACTGCTACACACAACCACTGACTACCACATACACACAACCACTGACTTACACACAACCACTGACTGCCACACACAACCACTGACTACCACATACACACAACCACTGGCTGACACACAACCACTGACTGACAAACACAACCACTGACTACCACATACACGCAACCACTGACTGCCCCCACTACCACTGACTACCACACACACACAAGCACTGACTTACACACAACCATTGACTGCCACACACAACCACTGACTACCACATACACACAACCACTGGCTGACACACAACCACTGACTGCCACACACAACCACTGACTACCACATACACGCAACCACTGACTGCCAAACTCAACCACTGACGGCCCCACACAACTTTTGACTGACACACGCAGCCACTGACTGACACACACACACAGCAGCTGACTACCACACACACAACCACTGACTGCCACAGACAACCACTGACTGCCACACACACAAACACTGACTGCCCCACACACAACCACTGACTTTCTCACACAACCACTGAATGCCATACACAACCATTGACTGCCCCACACACAACCACACTGCCACACACACAACCACTGACTGCCCCCATATCCACTGTCTACCCCACACAAAACCACTGATTACCCAACACACAACCACTGACAGCACCACACACACAACCACTGACTGCACCACACACACAACAAATGACTGTCCCACACATTTACAGTTCCCCGACTACTGTTATCTTCGCTCATAACATTCCCCTTCCAATTCCACCAGCAGATTACCTTGTTAGACTCAATCACTCCCTATAATATCAACATACGCGAACATCAAATGGTCTCGCTATTGTACACACACTACTGACACTAAGCCACATATACACATTCAGGGGCGTAGCGAGGGGGGGGGGCGGGGGGTGCGGACCGCACCGGGTGACACCATTTAGGGGGGTGACACCAAGGCAAAAAATAGCAAAATATATAGAGAAAAAATTGAGGGGGGGGGTTGCAAATCGAAAGTTTGAGGGGGGGGGGTGCAAATCAAAAACTTGAGGGGGGGTGCAAATCGAAAGTTTGAGGGGGGGGGGTGCAAATCAAAAACTTGAAAGTTTGTCCCCGGGAAGGGTCACAACGCCTCTGGGGTGGGGGGTGACACCATTAAGTGCCGCACCGGGTGACACCCGACCTCGCTACGCCACTGCACACATTTAACATATTCTACACATTTCACATATTCTGAACACTTAACTTATTTTACACATTTCACATATTCTGCACATTTAACTTATTTTACACATTTCACATATTCTGCACATTTAACTTATTTTACACATTTCACATACTCTACACATTTAACTTATTTTACACATTTCACATATTCTACACATTTAACTTATTCTACACATTTCACAATAATATTCCACACACATCAACACACTACAACGAACTTAAGTAAAATTTTAAATATGTCAGATTTGTTTTTGGCACAAGCGATAAAAGATTATGTAATTATAAAAGTCATAAGAAAAGATAATGGGATCATAAGATAAACATAACATATTCAGCTCACAAAAAAGACGATGGCTTATTAAAAATACTGCATAGAAAATAATGCATTCGACTTTTTGAATAAATGGACATTTTAACAATGAAACATTTTAAATACAGACCCCAATCTTTACTAATCAGAGTTCGCCTATATTCAGTTACTAAAATTACAATTACAGAATGTCCCATGTGTTGTACCGATATATATTTACCGAGTCTTGTGATAGATGGCAAACTCTATATAATTGCATGTAAGCATTATTTCCAGCTAACGAGGTTAGTCTGCTATATTTTGAACATGTATCCTACATTGTAATCGTAAGTACAAACATCATAAGGGTTTGTTTAAACAATGTCGCATGAAATCTGATATAAAATTTACTATTTTTTACTTTCTCGTATATACGTAGTATAGAGAAAGTATTGTAATCGTGCAAAAAAAAAAATCGAGATTTTTACAAATCTCGACGTTTTACACCTCACTGATACGGAAAAACATAATTTTGCAATCTTGTCCGTATGTCTGTGTGTGTGTCTGTGTGTGTGTCTGTCCGTGTGTAAACACGATAACTTGAGTACCGTTACAGCTAGGTTGATGAAATTTCATATATAAGTATTTTATCAAAATCGTAGATCCGTATCAACTTTTGAGCGATTTCCGATAACCGGAAGTGGTACTTTTCCTACTTTGAATTTTTTAAAAGCCTATAACTTGAGTACTATTTCAGATAGATAAATGAAATTTCACATGTAAGTAAAAGATCTAATTCTCTACCTTCTGTTAAATTTTGAGTAATTTCCGTTGACTGGAAGTAGTAATTTACGCTACTTCCGATTTCTCAAAAAACTAATGTAAATTTTAAAAGTACTAATAATATTGCGCACTATTATACGCGTTTTTATTCGGCGTTTGCTTGGTGCGCAATGTTTTTTTTTATGAGATTCTATTCTATTTTTAAAAGTTTAAGTATTTAAAATGGATTAAAAATCATAACTATATCCCCAGTTACCATCCCCTGTTGTTTTATATAAGAATATTCGAGAAAGTTTAGGGGAGATCACTACCGGTTTATTTTTAAACTATAAAATAAATGCTATTGTTTTGAACAGAACTTGTCTTTTTGTAACAACTTTTTACTTTCTCGTATATACGTAGTATAGAGAAAGTATTGTAATCGTGCAAAAAAAAATCGAGATTTTTACAGATCTCGACGTTTTACACCTCACTGATACGGAAAAACATAATTTTGCAATCTTGTCCGTATGTCTGTGTGTGTGTGTGTCTGTCTGTGTGTGTGTCTGTCCGTGTGTAAACACGATAACTTGAGTACCGTTACAGCTAGGTTGATGAAATTTCATATATAAGTATTTTATCAAAATCGTAGATCCGTATCAACTTTTGAGCGATTTCCGATAACCGGAAGTGGTACTTTTCCTACTTTGAATTTTTTAAAAGCCTATAACTTGAGTACTATTTCAGATAGATAAATGAAATTTCACATGTAAGTAAAAGATCTAATCCTCTACCTTCTGTTAAATTTTGAGTAATTTCCGTTGACTGGAAGTAGTAATTTACGCTACTTCCGATTTCTCAAAAAACTAATGTAAATTTTAAAAGTACTAATAATATTGCGCACTATTATGCGCTTTTTTATTGGGCGTTCACTTGGTGTGCAATTAATTTGTCTACGAGATTTTATTCTATTTTTAAAACTTTAAGTATTTAAAATGGATTAAAAATCATGTCTATAGCCCGAGTTCCCATCCCCTGTTATTTTATATAAGAATATTCGAGAAAGTTTAGGGGAGATCACTCCCGGTTTATTTTTAATGAATTTTTTTATGTAGCCGATATCGCGCTGTTGCGTTGAAGACTGTATGTAGGCAAAAGTACGGTTGACATTTTTTTTAAAGAAATTTTTTTGTCCGCTACTGACGAGACTTTCGAGCTTCGATGCACACACTGAATGTCTGATTTACGTAACACATGTGTAGTCATATTCTTTTTAAAAAGTGTACTTAGTATTTTCCATGGTTTGAACACCTAGAAGTGAATCTTATTTGTATACACGTGTTAGTAGAAATTGTGTATGTGGTGATTCCTATGTGATTTATTTGGTGATGAATGTGATCAGCACTAGATAATTGGAAATGTGCACACTGGCTTGAAAAGATGTAGGCCTATTCAAAATATCACATATTTCAAGTATTCAAAGAAAAAGTGAGATTTATTCTTTAGGAAACGTTGCCAAATTCTTTGCTCTCATTCAGTAATAATGATTTAACCAATGCCTATCTTTGCCATATGCAGAAGCTAGTAAACTAACATAATTCTTGTAGCACTACAAATGATTAATTTAAGCTATTTAGTTGAAATTCAAATTATAATAAATCATTAAATATCGATTCCTATTTTTAAATTACAAATTTCATCCAAGTAGCAAAATGTTAAGTAATCAACAGAGCGTGTGTTTTTTTATTCTACTCATTGTGTGTTGCTTACCAACGGAACATGCTGGGTTAGAAAGCAAAAATGATGATGTCGAAACGTTGCAAAAACAAGAGACTGTGCAAACTATCAAGTCTGAAAAAGTCCACGATACTGTAACAACTATATCTCCTAACACCAGCTCACCGTGTCGGATAATTTCAAACATGACAGATATTTTTACTGACTGCAGCTTCAGAAGTTTACTTGAATTAAACCACACCTGGTTTCCTGTGAACACTACAATCTTATGGTTAAACAACAACAACATAGAAACCTTACCAAATCGAATATTTTCTTCATTGCATTCGCTTCGCACTCTAATTCTATCGTACAATGGCATTAAATTCGTCACTATGGAAACCTTTTCAGGGCTTGAAAACTTGGAAGAACTGAACATGGAATGCAATAATTTAAATTTAAACGAATCAACGGCATTCACTCCATTACAAAAATTGAAATATCTCTACTTGAAATGTCAACATGAGAACGATGAAAATGAAATTACGATGGATTATCCTAGGTCTCTAGTACTGTTGACACGTGATGTTAATGATCCATTCCTATCTTTGGGACCAGAGTTTCTACAGTTAAGGAACTTGTCGACGTTGGTATTATCTGGTCAGGCAAAGTTTGTAAACAGCACAAGTTTTGTTATGGTACCACATATTCGAGAGCTCGTCTTAACACGTTTTTTCGACATGTTTTATATTAGTCCTAACAGTTTTTGTCAGCTGTATAAATTAGAGATACTACGTGTGATAACAGTCCCTATAGGGGTCAAACCCGCTATGAAATGGTTCGAGTGTCTTGCTGGAAGAACGATGAAAATTATCACCTTGCAAGACATAGCAATCAGCCGGACAAGACTAGACATTAATTTAATTAATGGTGACAGTTATTTAAGCAAAAACATTACGTCGTCGCTAACACAAATTTGTGTTGAAGAATTTACATTAAAATCTAGCTATGTGCAGTTGATTTATGTGAACGCTCTGCATAGCCTTGTGTGGGATCGCTGCCTTAAAGTGCTAGATCTTGGTGACAATCCGCTGATTGGTCAGATTTTTGCAGACTTCCAGCTTCTAAGGTTCCGGAATTTAGAGCGTATTGAACTCTCCGACACCTTCAGGTCAAGATTTAACTTGCAAACGTTCTGGGAAAATCCAGATTATGATTTCATGAAAAAATCACTTTATTCTAAACAGCTAATTAAAATGAACTTTAAGAACAGCTCTCACGAAAATATAATTTCAACACAAACGCATTCGGTGAACAATAACGATCAAAATTTCGGTTGTCTTGGTCTCAGATTCTCATCGTCACTAAAACATATTAGCATTCGTAGACTGATAGACAAATATGGTTTTGAATTATGCATCGTGTTATGGGGCACTAACAACATTGACTATTTGGATTTATCAGATTGTGGACTGTATAATTTTAAATTCAAAATATCCGGATTCCCTTCAATAAAAACTGCTATATTTTCTGCTAATGATATGGGATTAATTCCAGAAACATTTTTTGATGCCTTGCCGCTGCTGGAGAAGGTTGCTATGTCAACGTGTAATCTGGTAGTTTCTATGATGAGCTCAAAGGGCGGCAGGTACCTAGAACATCTGAAAAACCTACAATGGATCGACCTGTCTTCGAACGCACTTAACCTGCCGGCACCTGATATTTTTAAGTTTAACTCTAACTTAAAAGCCGTAAACCTTGCAAATAATCGATTCCTTTACTTCCCATTTAATTTACACCACACCCCAAATCTTATCATTCTGGATATGAGTGACAATGCTTTAACATCAATAGACAAGGATGTCCAGAAACAGCTTGACGAGTTAGTTCTCCGGAATGGACTATTTTACATGAAGCTGGCTGGAAACGTATTTTCTTGCCAGTGTAGCAACATTCAATTTCTTCACTGGCTGCAAAACACGCTCGTGACATTGGACAACAACAGGAACTACACGTGCATGGATAAAGACGGGATGCTGACCAACACGCTCCGCTATAAGAATCTTGATACACTCTGGCAAAACTGTATGGGGGAATTTTATTTTTCTTTGAGCATGGTGATATTCTGTGTTTCCGGAATAGGATTTTTAACGGTTTTTATATTCAATAAAAATTATAATTATGTTAAGGCATATGTGATGAATCTTTTCGGTACTTTTAAGTACCACAAGCCGAACGATTACACGATGGGCGTGTTTATCGGATACGCTGACCAAGATTACAAGTTCGCCTGTGATTCTCTCTTGCCGTATTTGGAAACGACTCTCGGCCTGAAGGCGTTTGTACGTGACCGTGACCTTTTACCTGGGTGTGACGTGGCGCGCGGGTTGGTCGAGGCGCTCAATTCCAGCTGGAGGATCGTTCTGGTGTTCAGTGAAAACTTTCTCAGAGCAGACGACTGGATGTGGTTTACCATCAGGTGCGCCATCTACTCCCAGACACCTGCCAACCCGTCTAGAATCGTCGTCATGGTCCACAAACAACACCTGCATCATTTACCTGACGAGCTGCTCAGTGCTGTGTTGGACGAGAACGTCATCGTGGTCTCCAGGTGGGAGCTGGATTACGTCATCAGACAAAAACTTAGAACTCTTTTGTTCTAATGGTCAGGTCTAGCATTAATATTTGATTTTATAAAAATACAGCTGTAGCCCACATACATCATAGGCAAGTGTAAATAACATACATCATAGGCAAGTGTAAATAACATACATCATAGGCAAGTGTAAATAACATACATCATAGGCAAGTGTAAATACCATACATCATAGGCAAGTGTAAATAACACACGTCATAGGCAAGTGTAAATAACATACGCTATAATTTAGTAAGTAACGTTGCTGAAAAATTAAATAAAGTGGCATTGGTATTTTAAGATTTAAAATGTTTACGGGTCATATATTTGATTTTGAGCTTCAAAGTCTAACTTAACTTTCATATTATGTTTTACCATATGTTGTTAAATAGGTGTACACTAATTGGCATTATGTTGTTGAACGTGTAATTTTATATTATTTGTGTTAAATTCACCCGACATATTTCATGTTTTCATTAGAACCCAATCTGTCTTACTAAATTATAACAAAGCTTTGCACACAAATTTTTTTACATTTCATAGTTAGCTTCAAATAAGGAAATGTTCACATGAAATAATTTTTTTAATTGATACTTTCATTGTATTTATTTTATTTTGCTATAAGCTCTGATAATTTTTTTCCTCTATCACTATTATATTCAAACATAATAATACACACATTTCAAATTTATTTAAGTTAAATCTGGTTTCTTTTTTCTCGATCACTTGATGTCTTTAATATATTTAAAATTTCATATATACAAAGTTTTGAATAAACGTTTGTAACCGGGTAAAAAATGTAGACCATTTTACACATTCTTAAGTCAGTTGAACCATTTTGAAATCTTTTCTGTATGTGTGCGTCGATGAGTAACTTTGTGGTTGTGTGTTATTGCGATAATATTAAGGGTTAAAATTAGATACATGAGTACTCTATTTTTAACTAGACTCTAGGTTTTGTCAAAGCTTCAACGATATTCAGAAAGTGATAGTAATTATTTTTTACCCTAATATATAAAAGCCCATGAGTGCACTTCTCTCTCTCTCTCTCTCTCTCTGTCTGCAACATTTTTTAGGCGATGTGATCAGCATTTTCAGCGATATATGGAGAACTTAAAGATACGGACCTTTTTTTTGAAAAAAAAATATGGTGGATGTTTTAAATTTATGAACTAAATTTTATTTAAATAAGGAAAATAAAAATAAAGGCATATTCAAACGTAGAAACACATTTCTAGCTATGCCGCCTGAAAAGTGTTTATTGTCGAAACAAGAACGCAATAACTAACGACGTCACAAGGCACATGGTTAACTATGGAAAGAACACAAAAACTAATGGCGTTTTCTGCCACTTTTAGGATATAAAGAAATGAACTATTACATTCAAATTTGATTTAGATCTATAGATCTACCTATCAAGACGTAGGCTTACGCTCTAAAATGTATACAATTTCTCGGCTAAAAGAAATACAATTTTTTAAAAAAAAGCAACATAAATACAAATGAACACCCGGATTTTAATTGAAACATTTGTCTCTTAATAAGTGTGTGCATTTATTATTATTAAATTAATATGGTGCTGTGTTGACTAATCATGTATATAATTTGGTTTTTCTATTGGTAGCCTGTGTTATTTTAAATGTATCGGATTTTTAGCTATTTAGTTATTTCTTTGCCTTTTCACTAAAATTATTGTACGTTTAGTAAAGGACATTGCGTTTGGACCAATAACTCATTTATAAAATATTTTTCTCAAACAAGAGTAACATTAAAATATATAGGCCTATACATCACGCGTAACGGGTACCGACGGCTAGTATTTCCATACTCTGATAATTTGATATTTTTATATTGTATTCTTTTAAAGCACCTTTCTGTTTCGCCTCTATATGGGTCATTGAGTGTCAAACTTCTATAATTCCATAGCCCGACCCCACTGAATTACCATTACTGTCATGTGCTAATATTCCAGAAAGTTTAGCAGCGTTTATTTTCCATTTTACTTTCTCGTATATACGAAGTATTGAGAAAGTCTTGTAATCGTGCAAAAAAAAAATCGAGATTTTTACGAAATCTCGACGTTTTACACATCACTGATACGGAAAACATAATTTTGCAATCTTGTACGTATGTCTGTGTGTGTGTGTGTGTGTGTCTGTCTGTCTGTGTGTAAACACGATTACTTGAGTACCGTTACAGTTAGGTTGATGAAATTTCATATATAAGTATTTTATCAAAATCGTAAATCCGTATCAACTTTTGAGCGATTTCCGATAACCGGAAGTGGTACTTTTTCTACTTTGAATTTTTTAAAAGCCTATAACTTGAGTATTATTTCAGATAGATAAATGAAATTTCACATGTAAGTAACACATCTAATTCTCTACCATCTGTCTAATTTTGAGTAATTTCCGTTGACCGGAAGTAATAATTTACGCTATTTCCGATTTCTCAAAAAACGCATGTAAATTTATAAAGTACTAATAATATTGCGCACGATTATGCACTATTATGTATATTTTGTTTTGGCGTTCGCTTGGTGCGCAATTCTTTTTCTACGAGATTCTATTCTATTTTTAAAAGTTTAAGTAATTAAAAATCTTGTCTATATTCCGAGTTATATAAGAATATTCGAGAAAGTTTAGGGGAGATCACTCCCGCATTATTTTCTTTCTATTCCATCATCGTTGAACGCTATTTCCATTATACCAGTTGCCGATTTAAGCACTGTACTTTAGCCTATATTCACCTAAACTTACACTGCCATGTTACTTTAAGCACAAACCACCAGTGGACACGTTCGGAAACATTATTATAATTCAAGTAGAAAAAACGATATGCTCTACTTGTAGCTTACCAAGGTGTAAAGAATATCATTAAAAAAACGTAAAAGTAAATAAATCAGCGCAGCAATATTGTACAAGGCAGATTTAACTGTGACCGCCTGGTTGAACTAACAACGCTTTAACCTTTAGTTTCAACGAACTTAACTTGTATAAATAACATGTCATAAAATAAAGTGTAAACTTACCATCACATATAATGTAACCGTTTCGCTCTACTACACACAGTTGGAGGTTATATAATAAAAAGGCTCTAGTGCAGCGTTTCGATAAAGCCATAGAAATAGGACTGTATGGTAGCTCAGGTGACAAAATGTGGGTCATGATTTCAATACAGTGACGAAAATAACACCACTTTTTCTAAACCGCTGTGATTTATTGCTCAGGTATGTAATGGAGGAATGCACCTTTTTACTGTGTGTATGTATGTGTGTGTGTGTGTCTGTGTGTGTGTGTTTCTGTGTCTGTGTGTTTGTCTGTGTGTGTGTCTGTGTGTGTGTCTGTGTGTCTATATGTGTGTGTGTGTCTGTCTGTGTGTCGGTCTGTCTGTAACACGATAACTTGAGTACCGTTACAGTTAGGGTGATGAAATTTCATATGTAAGTATTTTATCAAAGTCGTAGATCCGTTTCAACTTTTGAGCGATTTCTGATAACCGTAAGTGGAACTTTTTCTACTTTCAATGTTCAAAAGCCTATAACTTGAGTACTTTTTCAGATAGATAAATGAAATTTCACATGTAAGTAAAAGATTTATTTCTCTGCCTTCTTTCAAATTTTGAGTAATTTCCGTTGACCGGATGTAGTATTTTTTGTAATTTCCGATTTCTTAAAAGCGCATGTGAATTTATAAAGTACTAATAATATTCGCACTATTATACACATTTTGTTTTGCGTTCACTTGGTGTGTAAGTAATTAAAAATAGATTAAAAATCAATTACATTACCCGAGTTGCCATCCCTGTTTTTTTTTTATATAAGGGAGATCACTAGTTTATCAAACTTAAACTTACTTAACTTTAAATTTTTTAAAAATCCTCTTTTAGACCTAGAGATCAATTGGGCAGATAAAATAGAGTCTATATTTTTCTTTACCTCGGCATATGAAGAGAAGGTTTAGTCAGAAACTTTACCCAGCTGCATTTCCTTTCCCTAACTTGAGTTCGGTGCGCACTTTCTACATACTTGGACCCGATTCCAACTCAGGACTTTCAAGTTAGCAGCCAAGTGCTCTACAGCATAGGCCACGCCTGTCCCTTAACTAAAATTAGTTGGTATCAATATTTAAATGACCATTTAGTATCATGCCTGAAATACAATTTGATTCCCAGAATATATATCTGTGTTAAAATATTGAGGAGTATAAATATTCGTTTACTTTTAATTATAAAGACACATATTTAAAATTAAAACTTTTCAGGTTTTCATCTCTAAAGAAACCGCAACAAGATCTACGATTTATGAAATTTCGCACAACCTTTACGCCAGCTGTTAGAATACACCTATTTGTCCAAGCTCATCACCCCCCCCCCCCCTTCACCCCACCAAAAACATTTCGGATGTAACATTTTGTTCAATTATTTTAAATGAGTTATTTAAATAACTAAATCTAAGCTGCGGCTGACCAAAATGGCAACACAACTCCCCAGTCGACTCAATGATAAAACTGTATTTACAGTCAAAAGATGCAAGGTTGTAAGCCAAACATATATGTCATGGTAACATTATATTTCATGAGTGTAATCTGTTTGAATAAACATACTGGAGGCTGGTTTGCAAATCGTTGTAGTGGACTGGTCCATGTTTTTTCTGGTACCCTTGCAACACCTCACTATCAGAACTAGTAATAAAACAGATGGTGTTAGTTACTTCACAAGTTAAAGACTTTTACAAATACTATGGACGTTTCGACCTAGATTATATTTTTTCCTATCTAAAAAGACAACTTATTATAATACATTTAACGATTGTAACACTGCTTTTTTAAATTAATATTTTCAAATAAAAAAACAGGAGAAAACAAGTAATTTATTATTATAGTTTGGGGCATAACCAAGACCACATAAGGTGTTTTAGTCTTTTGTTTTTTTAAAATGTGTTTTACCTGTAATATTACAGACACTTTATGAAGATTGTGACGTGTATACCACTTTACACCTTCTTTAAGATATACATAACGAAATCAAAGCACACATATAAATGTCTACAATATTTTAATCTTCTTCTTCTTCGTTCTTAATTTTTAGTGTTGGGAGGGATCGAGCCTTATCTGCCAGAGGGTTTGAACTCGAGACTTTTTTCGAATTTATCAACCATGAGCTTTGCCGACTCGACCATGCTTCCATCACAATTAAGGATTACGTGTCAACTGGTTTTGCGCGATTGAGGCCATTGACTCCGATTTCAGCCTGCTTTTCTTTTTGGATTTGCTTCCATAGCCTTTGTCCAACTAAGAACAAACTATAAGGCAGCAGTTGTTTGATTGTGGAGTTGTCTCCCCTAGAAGAGTGGCTGTCCCCAGCTAGCGAGCCTCATCTGCCCGAGGGTTCGCGCACGAGACGTTTCGGCAGAGCCGGCGTTAGGGGGTGGCAAACGGGGCGGCCGCCCTAGGCCCCGCGCCTGAAGGGGCCCCACGCTTCAACACTGTCATTGTTATCTGAATTAGTTTGTAA